ACATCATCATCATCATCATCATCATCATCATCATCATCATCATCATCATCATCATCATCATCATCATCATCAGCATCAGCATCATCATCAGCATCATCTTCATCATATTCATCTCATCATCAGCATCATCATCATCAGCATCCGCATCCTTCTCCTCCTCCTCCTCCTCCTGTTCCTCCCCCCCTCATCCTCCTCCTCCTCCTCCTCCTCCTCCGCCTCGCCCTCCTCCTCATCCTCCTCCTGATATCCTCATCATCATCAGCACCATGAAGAAACAACATCATCATCATCATCATCATCATCATCATCATCATCATCATCAGCATCATGATCACCATCATCATCATCATCATCATCCTCATCATCACCATCGTCACCATCATCATGATCATCAGCATCATCATCATCATCATCATCATCATCATCACGATCACCATCACCATCATCATCATCATCATCATCATCATCATCATCACCATCATCATCATCATCATCATCAGCAGCAGTGTCAGCAGCATCATCAGCATCAGCAGCAGCAGCATCATCAGCATCATCAGCAGCATCATCATCAGCAGCATCATCAGCATAATCAGCATCACCATCATCATCAGCATCATCATCATCGACATCAACATCATCATCAGCAGCAGCATCATCATCAGCAGCATCATCAGCATCAGCATCACCAGCATCATCATCAGCAGCAGTGTCAGCATCGTCATCATCATCTTCATCATCATCAGCATCAGCATAAGAAGAATCATCAGCATCATCACCACCATCAGCACCGCTATCATCATCATCAACAACATCATCATCATCATCATCAGCCGCATCATCAGCAGTAAAAGCAGTCTCATCATCAGCAGCAGCATCATCATAATCATCATCGTCAGAATCGTCATCATAATCATAAGCGTAATCAGCATCGTCATCATCATGATTATCATCATCATCGTCATCAGCATCACCAGCAGCAGCATCATCACCACCATCAGCATCATCAGCATCAGCATTATCATTAGCGTCAGCATCTGTACCAGCATCAGCGAAAGCATCAGCATCATCATCATCCTCATCATCACCATCATCACAAACATCATCATCGTCATCATCATAAACATCAGCATCATCAGCCGCATCAGCATCAGTATCAGCAGCAGCCTCATCATCAGCATCATCATCAGTATCATCGTCATCATCACCATCATCATCATCATCATCATCATCGTCCTCCTCCTCCACCTCCTCCTCCTCGAGGTCCTCCTCCGCCTCCTCATCCTCCTCCTCATCCTCCTCCGCCTCGTTATCCTCCTCCTCCTCCTCCACCTCCTCCTTCTCCTTCTCCTCGTCCTCGTCCTCCTCCTCCTCCTCCTCCTCCTCCTCCTCCTCCTCCCCCTCTTCCTCCTCCACCTCCTCCCCCTCCCTCCTCCTCCTCCTCCTTCTGCTGCCGCCTCCTCCTCCTCCTCCTCCTCCTCCGCCTCCTCCTCCTCCTCCTCACTTCCTCCCTCCTCCCTCCCTCCCTCCCTTTCATCCTCCGCCTCCTCCTCCTTCTCCTCCGCCTCCTGTTCCTCCTCCTCCGCCTCCACCTCCCCCCCCTCCCTCCCTGCATCCCTCCCTCCGTCCCTCCATCCAACCATCCATCCATCCATCCATCATCCTCCTCCTCATCCTGCTCCTCCTCCTCCTCCTCCTCCTTCCTCCTTCCCCTCCTCCTCCTCCTCCTCATCCTCCTCCTCCTCCGCCTCCTCCTCCTCCCTCTCCACGTCCTCCTCCTCCTCCTCCTCCTCCTCCTCCTCCTCCTCTTCCTTCTCCCCTCGCCGCCCTAGCATGGGGGGCCAAACGCCTCCCATGGTCACCACACCCAGCGTCTTGGAAAGGAAAGCGTCGCCCAGCAGCGAGAGGCAGGGCGTCGGGCGGCAGGGCAGCATGGGGGGGCCAAACGCCTTCCATGCTCACCCCACCCAGCGTTTCGAAAAAGGATTCGAAGCGTCGACGCCCGCGCTCGGGATCTGTCCATCTCCACCGCTTTGGAGACGCGCCCCCGAAGACCTCCGGCACTGCGGGGTATGGATACCTTCCCGCCCGCTGGGTGCGCGCTACATCTGTGACCGGCGCTCCGCGAGGTCCTCGAGGGTACGTCCGCAAATCGCTGGATATGAATTGGAATCTGGCGTGGACCACGCATCGAGGCGCCGATCTGCGCCATCCTTGCGCTACTGAACGAAATCATGTCGCACCCACTCGTTCCCAGCCGGTTCGAACGAGATCTTCTCGAACTGCGTCAGGGCATGTGCCGCGTGTGGGTGCGAGCTGGGCCAAAAGTACGTCAAGAGCGCAGCAATGATGACACAAGCTTGTGCCAGCAATAGCTGTGCCCACCAGGGGAAGACACTTCCGAAAACCGCCTCGGAAGGAAGACCATCCAGCTTGGCGCTCGACGACGGGACCTTCAGCGCGTGATCCAAGACATTCAGTGGTCCAGCACTCGGGGAGGTCAGCCACTGCTGTTCGCTCCTCTTCTCTGGCCGCAACGGCGCTGGCACGTCTACCACCTGCCCGGTTGAAGAGTCGAACGAAGCTGGAAGCGGCTGCAGCCCCATGGTATCACCCAAATCTTGAAAGGCACTTTCGAAATTCGCTTCGGGGAGCTTGGCTCTCAATGCCGTGACGGCATTCATTGGCGCAGCACTCAGCGAGGTCAGCCAGTACTCTTCTGTCTTCTTCTCGGACCGCAACGGCACCGAAACATCTGCAACATGCCCAGCTGAAGTGTCGGACAGAGCTGGAAGCGGCTGCAATCCTACGATGTCACCATCTGTGCCGTGAATCTGCCCGAGAACCAGCGCAAGACATGCGGGTTGGAGGGCCAAAAAAGTGACGCTGAAAATGCACCACCGGAGCATGACGATATACGTTCGGTACCTCTTGCATCAGGAAAAGACCAGCCCCAAATGGCTCGAGCCGACACGAGAACGGAGCAGGCACACACCCGAGGTGCAGGCGCGCGTGGCCGCCCTGGCAGAGCCCCCGCACGAACGAGCCCCCCGCCCTGCCAGAGAAGAGGTCCGCCCCGTCGCGGACCGATGCCTCGCGCCCGGCCCCCTTTTGCGCCGTGGCTCTCGGCGGGCCCGCTGCCGGGGCGGGAGGCCTCGACCGCGAGCCGAGTCGGTGGCCGCGCGCTCGCCTGGCCTGGGACGCACAGAGACCTACTGATGCTATATGTCCTCCCTGGAGGCGCGCGTCCGACCCGAACATATCGCAGACCCATCTTGTAGCATATCGTTTCCCGCGCGGTGCGGCCAGAGAGCGCCCGCCACGGCGCATATATTACAAGAGTTCTCGGTGCGCGCGTCGCCCCGGGGGGGCCGACGCACACATAGTATAAGTATATTGGGTTGACGCCGATGGCTGCGATTCCTCCGTCAAGCCAACGACTGTCGAGCCGGAAGCATGCTGACGCTTCGAGTTCGATCGCGACGACAGATGCAGCAGCCAACAGCGCCTCGCTGGACAACGCCTGGGCGAGAACCGTGCAGGCGACGGCAGGGTGCCTTGCAAGACCTCCAGGACATGCTCGCGGGCGGCGGCCCCGCGCTCTGGTGATCGCGCGAGGGGGTAGGGATTGCCAGTAGCGGCAATAGACAAGCGCGTTCCACGATTCGCAGAGAATAACTACTCGCAAATGCCCTGGATCCGCCACGGGAGATTTACGATCCATTAGAGCTCGGAAGACAGGTGTTTTTTTTCTGACGTTCGCGAGTAGGCACTTTGCGAGCAGCGGGACGCGCCTCGGTGACTCCAGAAAGTGGCATGGGACACTACATCGACCCCTGCGCCCCAGCACGACAGCCCGTACAGTCAACCCGAATCGTAAGGATGCGTCGGAAAGATGCAAGGACCTTGGAGGACCATGTTACAGTTTTTCTAAAGAGGTTGGCCAGCGAAGGCCGCTAAGGATGGGCCAGAGGGGCAGGGATGCAAGGGCAGCCTTAGAAAAATGCCCATACTCGCCATGAGGGTTGACTGTACATCGACCCTTGCCTCCCAGACGTAAACGAATTTCAGGCATGACAACCCCCTACACCAGTCCGCAGTCGAGGGAAGAGTTGGTGACGGGGAGGCCGTCTCGCATGACTGCACATTCTGTTTCGCACCTCTCGCGCGGGTTCGTGACCAACTCCACATTTGGAGGACCCTGTGGAGTTTCAGAAGTCTGGATTATTACTTACCTGCGCGATGGCTCCCCATACATCTGCTGGCTCGGCTTTGTCAAGACATGGTCCCCCAGACCTCACCACCCCTTCCCAGGGACCAGCGTTTCATCAGGAATCGTCTTCTGATGCCCCTGGGGCTACAGTCGAGCTTCCGCAGGCCCAAAGTAATGAGAATTGACTGACGGATGAGTTTGAAATGACAATAATCACCGCATCATGGTACTGACCTACCTTCTCTCTTTCCAATCGCTTCACCGCGGACGCGTGCAGGGCGAACTATTCCAGTACATCTCTCTGTCTGGATGTGGTTCGATACTTATTGTTGGTCAGCGGCGAGCTGGATCCAGCAAGCGGTCGACCATCGGCGGGGCGCGACAGGAACGGACTTGTCGCACGGGACGGGGAAGGCAAGAGGGGAAGACAAGGGGGAGAAGAAGGGGTGGGGGGGGAAAGAAGGGGGGGAAGAAGGGGGGGGGGAGAAGGGGGGGGAGAAGGGAGGAAGAAGGGGGGGGGGGGGGGGGGGGGGGGGAAGAAGGGAAGAGAAGGGGGGAAGAGGGAGGGGGAAAAGGCAAGGCAAGAGGGGAAGAGAACGGGGGGGGCGCCGGGACGGCTGGAGCGCCCTCGGAGCGTGAAGAGCTCCAGGAAAGGTGCCGTCAGGCCCAAGCACTCGACGCTCCTCCTCCTCCCCCTCCGCCTCCTCCGCCCTCCTCCTCCTCCTCCCTCCGCTCCTCCTCCTCCTCCTCCTCCCTCCTCCTCCTCCTCCTCCTCCTCCTCCTCTCCTCCTCCTCCTCCTCCTCCTCCTCCTCCCCCTCCCTCCTCTCCCTCCCTCCCTCCCTCCCTCCTCCTCCTCTCCTCCTCCTCCTCCTCCTCCTCCTCCTCCTCCTCCTCCTCCTCCTTTTCCTTTTCCTCCTCCTCCTCCTCCTCCTCCTCCTTCTCCTCCTCCTCATTCTCCTCCTCTTCCTTCTCATCCTCACTGTTTGGCCACAGTGCCACAAACCTCCTCCGTTCTATACCCGCAGATGCCCTGCAGGTCCGGGGTGAGGAGGTGCGTCCTGCGAGGGTCAAGATGAATTCCAACGGAAGGGAAACGACCACACGTGTCGCCGGAGCGCGATCCAGGGAACGTAGGACGTGTGTTCGAGACACGCATGCCTGGGCCTGGTGGTAGCATTCGTTCGGACGGCAACGGGTTTCAGCTCAAGCTGGCGCATCTTCAGGGATGCTGGGGAATCCTTCCGTGATCTTTCAGGGGTCCTGGAGAACACTCAAGGATCCGAGGGAACCCTGAGGAGCCCTGCGGAGCCCAACGGATCCCTGCAGAAGCCTGGGGAATCCAGAGAATTCCTCAGGAATCCACCACAGTGCGCAGCAAAGCATGCACCGCCGCAGCCGCGTGCACCAAATCGCCTGTGTACTGCAGAATGCAGACGTGCAGCGCCGCGATGTTTTTTCCACCACGCCCTCCTTCGAGCATTATACGACGAAGGCGCCCGAGCGCCAAGCGACAACCACGACGACGACGACGACGACGACGACGGGGACGCGCGCGTCAACATGGGGCCTGAAGAGGCCCCGCTGGAACTGAGCAGAGAGTAGGGGGCCACCCTGCAGGTTCGGATAAACAAGACATCGTTGAGCGGTGCTGCAGCCTCCCCTGAGCACAGGCCCCCCCAGAGCATCAGCCAGACAAGTCAGGTTTGCACCCTCATGCCTTGCTGGGCTCTGGGCGCGTTTAGGCATCCTCTCCCCAAACCTCGTCAGGGCCACCAACAAGGGAGAGGGCGGCGGCGGCCAACGTTTCCCAAGCCACGGCCTCTCTGGAGTATCAGCTAGGCAAGCCGGTTTTTGCACCCTCACCGAAGGGCAGGGCACCGCGACGGAAGGGGACGAGGACGAGGAGGACAAGGACAACGACGAGGACGACAAGGGCAAGGACGAGGACGAAGGCGACGACGACGACGACGACGACGACGACGACGAGGACGACGAGGATGAGGACGACGACGACGACGACGACGACGACGATGACGACGGCAACGGACGCCTCTGAAGGTCTCCTGAGGTTTCCGGAGGCCTGAGGAGGTTTCGGGAGATCTCTGGAGGCGTCTGGAGGCGCTTCGACGCCCTGCGACGCCAGGATCTCAGGGGACGGGGGGGGGCCGTCCTGCTCCCGCCGACGCTGCCACCGCCGGTCCTTTTCGTCGGGCTCGGGGTTGGCGAGGGCGGCGCTCCCGGTCGCCCGCGGGGGCCTCGCCGGAGGGGCGGAGGGGGGGGGCGAAGGGGACGGCACTCGCAGCGGGAGGGGAGGGGAGGGGAGGGGGAGGGAGCCATAGTCCTCATCCTTTTCCTCCTCAGGCTCCTCCTCCTCCTCCTCCTCCTCCTCTTCCTCCTCCTCCTCCTCCTCCTCCTCCTCCTCTTCCTCCTCCTCCTACCTTTAAGCCGCTTTGGCTCAAGTCTCCGCGGGCCTCCTCGCTGGGGGTCCTGTTCAACGTCGTGCGCGAGCGCGCCCACGGGCGGGCTGGCTGCCCCGCTCGCGGCGTCTCATTCTGCTTATTGGAACCCTGGGACACACAAATTCGCCGGCCCAACGGGCCAGAGGCGTGCTAAGATCTCCGGTAACTACTTACCAATATCTCTAGTTCGCGCGCGCGGGGCGGCCCCTGGGGGGCCCCGGGCGAAAACTACCCCAGCCGATCCCCGGCTGATCCCCGGGCGATCCCCAGGGGGGAGGCTATTTTCGCCACCCCTCAAAAAGATCACGGCCTCCGAGGGGGGGGGCTGCAATCAATCCCCCCCCCCCCGCCCCAAGGGGCCCCCAAGAGCCCCCCAAGAGGCCCCAGGGGAGCCCAATACGCCGCCAGGGAGCCCCAAGACGCTCCCAAGAAGCCCCCTAGAAGCCCCCAAGACGGCCCCAAGAGGCCCCAAATAGCGCTCCAGGGCCGGCGGAATGAGCGAAGCGATCCGCCGCCCCACCGGGAACGGCGCGCGAGATCCCCGCCGCATGGTCTGCACGAACTCAGTCCCCTCAATCTGCGCGCACACGAACTCTTCGTACCAATACCCATTCCTCAGAGCCCTTGCAACACCTCCTGGGGTCCTCCCCGCGGCCTGCTCATTCTGCCGGCCCGGGGGCCACAGCTGCGGAATGAGCGCTCTTTGGCCATCATTTTCGTTTCGGAACACACCTCGTTGGAAACGTTCGTCTTCAAGGCGCCTCCGGCCTCTCTCAGACGCCTCTCCGGGAGCTCACTGACTCGATTTTGGAGGCCTCCAGACGCTCTCCTGGGGCGATCTTGGCCGTCCTCCAAGCCATTTTGGTCCAGTCTGGCAGCCCGCCCACCTCTCCTCGGCCCACTTCGACTACAAAAAACCAACACGCAAAAAACTTTGTAAAGCACATATTATTATGTCCATTCTGGCCTTGTCGAGCCTCTATTCTTGCCTCGTTTCGAGCTCACGTGCATCTTCGCGGGCTCTTGGAAGCACGTTGGAATCAGCGGGCGCTCTCTGCGGCTGTCCTCCACGCCTCCCGACCCCGGCCTGGGCCGTCTGGCAGCATTTTGGGGGTTTTCTTGGGCCGTCCTGGGCGCGCCCAAGGGGGTCCCCGGAGTCCCTTTTGAGGCCCCCAAACTAACTCGCATCTCGTTTGTACGCCTCTCCGTATGCCTCTTCCTTTCGTCCACACTTTTGCATACCCTCAGGCGTCCTTTTTAAATCATGGTCAGACTCTCTTACGGCTTTTTGGCGTCTTTTTAAATCATTTTCCGGCTCTCTTGGGGCTTTCTGAGAGCCTTTAAGACCCCACTTTCGTGTTTTTCCTGGCCCTCTGAGACCTTATTGTCCAATCTGGCGTTTTTTTTTATGTCATTGTCGGGCTCTCTTGGGGCTTTCTGAGAATCTTTAAGACCCCACGTAACAAAACCCCACCCAAAGCTGAGTGAACACCCCCGCTACATCCCGATTTGCCCCCCACGCAACCTCCGCGTTCCAAAAAAAACAGTGGGGCGGCGGTGTCTGCCCCCTCAGGCGCGTTCAATTAAATAAATAAACACAAATAACAAGATTCCCCATAATTTCCCATATTTTCTGGGTTTCTGTCTTCCCCCCCACACTGCCCATATTTCCCCATATGTTCCTGGGGATCGACGATGAATTGTGTCTGTGTGTTTTTTCCCCTCCTGACTCAAGCCTGCCTGGCGGTGGCGCCCCGTAACGCGCGCTGAAGAGGGACACCTACGACCGCAGATCTACGGGGCGGGACGGCGCGAGGCAGGTTCAAGGAACCCTGGACCCAAAAAGCCTCGCCATGTCTTGAGAGGCCGAAGATTCCTTCCGCTGGCTTGCGTCGCCCTTCCGCCGGCCTTCCGCCGAGGAAGAGATATGGCCTCAGATCCTCGACGGCGAAGCCCTTGCTGGAGCGCCCCACGTGTGGCCGCCCAGGCTAGAAGCTTGTTGCTGAGCGGCGTCAGAACGGACCCGTTGCCTCCGGGGCAAGCGTGGAGATGCCACAGCAAGCCCAGGTGGTAAACACGCAAACCGTAAGAAACTCACCCGCTGCGGTGAAAGCGGGGCAGCCTTCCCCGCGCCCCCCACCTCCCTGCCTCCCTGGGCCGGTCATAGCAGCACCCAGTCTCCCCGGAGAAGAGACGGAAAGGGGACGGGGACGGTTTCGGGAGACGGGAAGCTCGGGGGAGGCGAGGGCCCACAGCAACCACAGAGGTGATCCGGGAGACGGGAAGCTCGGGGGAGGCGAGGGCCCGCAGCAACCACAGTGGTGATCCTGCATCCCTCCAGCCCTATGTCCGTGGCCCTCTTACCACTGCCAGCCCCTCCCAATCAGCCCTCATCCCCCAGGGGGCGCCAAGGGTAGGCCAGGCAGCAAGGGCGTAGACGCCACGCGAGGAGAGGTAGCGGAGGAGGTGCGCAGGAGAAAACAAGCAGCGGGCTGTCGCAGCAGCAGCGGTACGGCCAGCAGCCCCCTCAGCAGCAGCAGCAGCCCCTCTCGGCAGCCCTTCCCATCCCCGCTCCAGCAGCCAGCAGGAGCAGGTGGTGCACAGTCGGTGACAGCAGCAGCGCCTGACTGGGGCCGCACAGGATGGCTGGTTTCAATAATTTACACCTTCTTGACCTGTCCATTCTGGAGCCCCCGAAAAAACATGATCGACCCACGAACCCGGAAAGGAATATAGAAACGTAACGCGTGGCAGCGTTTTCAAAGACACCTGATTGGGTGACGGGCACATGCAATGCTGAAGGTATCGATCTTGATGTACCCTGCCGAGGGCTGTGCTGTGCTGCACCGTGCTGAATTGCGATGTGCCATGGCGCGGTTGTGCTCTATAGCGTCGTGGATCGAGTCCTCTTTTGCATCCGAGTCCTGACCGAACTGATCTGGATCTTAAGCTCGAGCTGCCTGAACACATAGTAGCTGCCCCAGAGTTAATTGATAACGGGACATGCCAGGAGGACGCGCCGCGAAACGTCCCAAGGGATGGCGCCAGGCGGCGTGCCAGGGAACGTGCCATGGGGTCGCACCGCGGGACGTGCCAAGGGGACGCGCTACGGAACGTGCCAATGGATGTGCCACGGGATGTGCCAGGGGACGCGCCACGCGACGTGCCAGGGGGACTCGCCAAGGGACGCCCCACGGAACGTGCCAAGTTGCAATGCTGAGTGTATCGATCTTGATGTACCGTGCCGAAATCTGTGCTGTGCTGCGCCGTGCTGAATTGCGATGTGCCATGCCGCGATTGTGCTCTATAGCCTCGTGGATCGAGTCCTCTTTGCATCCGAGTCCTGACCGAACTGATCTGGATCTTAAGCTCGAGCTGCCTGAACACATAGTAGCTGCCCCAGAGCTAATTGACAAGGGGACATGCCAGGAGGACGCGACGCGGAACGTCTCAAGGGACCCGCCAAGCGACGTGCCAAGGGACGTGCCATGGGGACGCACCGCGGGACGTGCCAAGGGGACGCGCTACGGAACGTGCTGGGGACAAGCGTTTCGCTCGAGACATCCTGCCAACATCCTCAGAATTCCTGCGCGCGGGACGCGGCACGCGCGAGACAACCTCGGAATTCTTGCGAGCGGGACGTGAAAACAACCATTTCGCCTGAGATATCCTCTGAATTCTGGACCCCCACGAGGCCCCCCACGAGGTCCCCGCTCGAGACATCCCCCAATTTTGCAAAACCAGCGTTTCGCTCGAAACGTCTTCAACAAATTATGAAAGACAAGCATTTCGCTCGAGACATTCTGCAAAAATTCAAGGAAATCCTAGCAAAACAAACGAATTAGTCGAGACATCCTCGAAATTCATGCGCGCGGGACGCGGCACGCGCGAAACATCATCGGAATTCCTGCGCGAGGGGCGCTTTTCCGCGTCGCGGTCGGCTCTGCAAAACCAGCGTTTCGCTCGAGACATCCTCAACAAATTCTGAAAACAAGCGTTTCGCTCGAGACATCCCCAACTCTGCAAAACCAGCGTTTCGCTCGAGACATCCTCAACAAAATCTGAAAAACAAGCGTCTCGCTAGGGACATCCTCAAAAATCATTCCGCCGGCCCTACTCCCGCACGTAATTTATCGCAGAATAATTTCGCCGGCCCAAGTCGCAGGGGGGCCGGGGGGTTAACCTACTAAAAGAGAACCCTGGGCCCGCGCCCTTTCCGGGAACATACCATACCTATACGACCACCCTTCGGGTGATAAGGAGGTTCGGGGGGGGGGGGGGAACCAACGTCTCACTCAATCGGTCTCACTATCGATCTCAGTATCGATCTCACTATCGGTCTCGCTCGATCGATCTCACTTGATCGATCTCACTCGATCTATCTCATTCGATCGATCTCACAATTGATCTCACAATCGATCTCACAATCGATCACACAATCGATCTCACATTCGGTCTCAATATCGATCTCACTATCGATATCACAATCGCTTTCACAATCAACGTCATCATCATCATCATCATCATCATCATCATCATCAACATCATCAACATCAACAGCATCACCAACATCGTCATCATCATGAGGGCACAGTCATCATCATCATCATCATAAACATCATCATCAACGTCAGCACCATCATCGGGACAACATCATCATCACCATCACCATCATCATCTCATCATCAACAGCATCATCATCATCATCGGGGCACAGTCATCGTCATCATCATCAGCAGCATCATCAGAATCATCATCATAATCGGGACACCATCATGATCACCATCGTTCTCATC